CCATACACAGAAAATAAATGCTATCCCCACTGTTAGGACCAGCCAGCCTCTAGCAGCTCAGGGATTGAAGGAGAGCAATGCAGTCAGCCAACTAATCACTCAGCTTGACTTTTCTGTGTGAGGGAGTAAAACTTAACTCTCTGGGGCCAAGCCTTCTCCTGGTCCTAGTTAGAAGTTTGTATTAAGGCAAAATTTGTATATAAGAGAAAACTGTTTTAAAATATGCAATTGAAGAGCACTCCCACCCCCACTTCTGTCCTGCTCCCACTCTTCTGCTGCTTTTGTTTCGTTTCTCCCTTACCAGTAAACAGAAAGTTAACGCTTCCCTTAGCCGATGACTGACACTTTACAGAATGAGTTTTAACAAGAGTTGTGAAAGACACATTATACCTACACACACACACACACACACACACACACACACACACACACACCTACCTTTGGGGTCTTTCCATCATCTCCTCTCTCTGTGTTCTATATTTCTTTTCTTACCAATATCAAGATGTATCCCTTCTGACTCTCTTGATCTTCCTTCTAACTAACTTTATTTTTCCCTTACAGCTTATATACTCCAACAAAATCTCTCAAGCAGTATAAAACTTACAATGTGGTTACAGAGTATTTTTCAAGTGAATGATTACAATGAATACAAGTAAAAAGCAGCATGTTTTCCATATCCCTTACATGATTAAACATTTTATATATTACAGGTGAAAAACAAGTTGTCCCAAGAACCCACATAGATCCATCCCCAAGCAACTTGTTACAGATTAACAGTGTAAGCAAGATAATTTTCCTTAGCCAGTTCTCTTGCTGGCAGACTACATTCTGCAGTTTCAAAGAAAGGACCAATCATTTTATTATTTATCTCAAAAGATAATCTTATCACAAATCTAAACTTTTATATATGGAAAAACAATCAGTCAGCTCTATTTTAAATCCTCAGGGTGCATACCCATTCATCAACAGTTCACTGTATCAGGAAGCTGAGGGCAGAAATGGGTACAAGGAATTAATCATCACCCTTGATCACCATCCCATCCTAGCAGGTCAGCCAGCAATAGCCAGTCTGACATAGTTCTTGTTCCCTGACCTCCCTCATTTAGCTATTAAAAGTATGCCTTTAAATTGTTTTCCAAGATTTTGTTTTACCTCAAAGCCTTTAACAAAAACATCTTAATCTGACCTTAAGTCATTATTTAAAGCTTTGTTTTAGCTATGCTGCACACCGAAACCTGTGAATATATCTCAACTTTAAAATTAAAAGAATTTGAGCTAACAGCTTCTGGGACACAACTGTTTTTCTTTATCATTAACATAAGCCACAGTCTATACAGTTTCTTAAAAAGAAACTAGCTGTGTGACATTTCATGTTCTTATTTTCTGTTCTCTGCAGCCCTTGCTTTATCAAGGGCAGGGGCAACACCATAGCTTGCTTTTACATATATTAGTTTTCCCACTAAGCTAACCTGTATCATAATCCTTTACTATATTTATTAAAGACCTTCAATCTTCAAAATCCTATTTAAGCTAACTCTCTTATTATATAAAATCATTGCTTCAGTTAAACAGTACAGTTTAGGAGGAAATCATCTACATAATAATCCACCAGTAAAAATGCCCAGTAGAACCAGATATTTCTATGAGGTAATCATATCATTTTAGGGTGGGGATCTCCCCACGCCCATTCACACCATGCCAGATAAAAATGGCAATGGCAAACATGTAAAGGCACAGCAGTAGTAAGAGACATTCTGGGACCAAGGCTTTCAGGGCCTTGCCTATCTGAGATTCACCCATCAGGGCCTTACATTCTGGTCAGCCAATCTCCTGAAGTCAGTTGCCACTTGCTGCTCCTCTGACATGGCCACTGGCAAAATAAATTTAAATATTTTTTAAGTCACAATTTAGTTAAGTTACAACTTTTAAAACTTGGGTGATGTACCCATTAAATCAAAACTAGAAGTAGATGTCATGTTGTACTCTACTTAGAAATAGTATAGGGCTGGAGAGATGGCTAAGAGGTTAAGAGCACTGTCTGCTCTTCCAGACGTCCTGAGTTCAGTTCCAAGCAACTACAAAGTGATTCACAACCATCTGTAATGAGATCTGGTGCCCTTCTTCTGGCCTACAGGCATACATGCAGGCAGAACACTGTATACATAATAAATAAGTAAAAATCTTTTTTTAAAAAAGTAGTTCAAGCCGGGCATTGGTGGTGCACACCTTTAATCCCAGCACTCAGGAGGCAGAGGCAGGTGGATCTCTGTGAGTTTGAGGGTAGATTTTCTTCTGAGCATTATATTGGTTGTGTTCTTGTACCTATTGTACTTACCAAGCTATTTAAGCTATATTCAACAATTTTTAACATAATTGTGCTTTTAAGAAACAAAATAGCCAGGGGTAGTGGTGGAGCACAAATCCCAGCACTTGGGAGGCAGAGGCAGGCAGATCTCTGAGTTCGAGGACAGCCTGAGCTACACAGAGAAACCCTGTTTTGAAAAACAAAAACAAGTAAAAAAAAATAAAAAAACCAAAAGAGGGTAAATGTCACAAAAAAATTAATTTAATCAAAATCTTTGTTAATTCTGTTAACTGCTGTCAGCAGTTCCTGATTATTTAATATGTATTTATTGCTCCAGTTCAGGGCTTGGCAAAGAATGGCCCAGGGGACAGATCTGTCCCCTAATCCTTGCTTTTGTACATAAAGTTTTACTGGAACCCACTCATGCTTACTTGTTTAGAGATGCGCTACAAAGCATGTAAGTATTTACTTTAAAATGTTGCTCAACCCTGTTTTGCCTCATGTAACAGAGAAGCAAATGTATTTTATACCTAATTCTAAAGATATGTAAAACTCAGTTTTAAATATTATGTAGTTCATATTCTTTGTGGGGAAAGGCTGAAGAAAGAGAAATTGAAGTGATTAGGTTAATGGAATTTCCCTTCCAGTCATCTGAGCACTTGTTCGTTGATAACACTAGTATGCCTAAGTCCTAAGTTATGTGTAGTATTGTCCAACCAGTTGAACTTAGGGTTCTTGTTTTCTTCTGGTGACAACTTGAGTTTTCCCCTGATCCTTTTAGAAGGTAACAAAGATGATACAGTAAAGATTTCATTTTCTGGTAAATAAAATGTGGTCCTAGGTGAGTTTTTATTTACCTTCCCTGCCCAGGAGGGAAGTGCTCGTCAGGTTTCCAATTAGATAGTTACCTGATCTCTTTCAAAGTGTCTCTGTCCGTTCCCCCTGTTGAAGCCAGTTAGTACTGTGTCCCCTTGACAGGCTCAAGTTTCAGGAGCCTGGGGATCTTAAATCTATCCTTTGCTTTAGGGTTCATAATTGAAAGTGAGACTTGTTCTCATCTCACATAAATATAATGAGGCGTCAGAGAACTTTGGCAGTTAGCAAAGGAGTACCCTGAGACTAATTATAGGTGATATGGTTTTTACTCTGATGCAGCTTCCAAAAGGGAGATTTGGCACTTGGAAAATGTGATTATGGAAATTATGCCTTTTGTTTTTCCCTAGTTACTGACTACTACAAAGAAGAAATCAAGTGTTAGCTTGTTTGTGTCCATTGTCAGGAGGAATTTTATGTTGTATTTTCTGTTATCAATTTCAGTAGTACATTTAATCTTCTAACAGGCTTTAACTTACAACAGTTTGTATTCCTACTGAAGTTCAAATAATAAATTGCATTTAGTTTTAAAATATCTTGCATATATGAAACACAATTAAGAAAATGGAAATAAGATTTGCACAGACACAATAAAAACAGTGGTTCTCTCCACCCCCAAAAAAATCATTATTCTAAATCCAACAAATTTAATTAATTAAAAAAAACTCAAAATACCAAGTAAATTTTTGGGTTTTTTTTTTTTGTGATAAAAGATACTCTAGTAAATGTCCAGGCTTTACCTCAAAGTAAGTAAAAAAAATGGGATTTCTAGAAGATAGTACATGATGTCAAAAGTAATAAAGAGCTGTTGGATTTTTTTATCCGTAAAAACAGACACTCAGGCCAGCAGGATGGCTCAGTGGGTAAGAGTGCTTGCTGCCAAGCCTGAAGGCCTGACTTTAATTCCTGCAATCCCTATGGTAGAAGGAGAGAACCAACTCCCAGAAGTTGTCCTCTCACCTCCAGATGTACACCATAGCATACAGTCCCTACCACCACCACTACTCAGAAAATAAACACATGTAAAAAATTAAGATTTACTTTTATCTTTTAACTATGTGTATGTGCATCTGTGTGTGTGTACGTTTGCATATGGGTATGTGCATATGAGTACAGTTGCCCAAGGAGGCCAGAGTCATGGAATCCCCTGGAGCTGAAGTTGTGAGCTACCTGATGTGGGTGTGGGAACTGAACTTGGGTCCTCTAGAAGTACAGAAGTACTCTTAATGACTGAACTGTCTCTCTACCCTCCTTTTTTTTTTTTTTTAATTGAGACACTCTTACTGTGTTCTGCACTTGTTGCACCAGAGGTATTTCAAAAAGGCTTTCACTGTTAAGTGTTTATGTCAAGAAAATGGTTCTGATTAGCTGTGGTAGCCTCCTTCTCCCAAATATTCACCTTCCTTGGTCTGTATGTCTTTCTATTTATTGTGTTAACTGAGTAATGGAGAGAAGATCAATGCTGTCTGATTTCTTTTTTTCCTTTTGTTTTGACTTTCAGAAGATTATTCAAACTTGGAAGTTACTTTCACACTATACAACAGAGTAATAACTTTTTCTTTGTAGAGATCTGTAACATACTAGCATACTATATGGAAAGGACAAGTGGATGCTTGGCACTTTCCTACTTTGTTACCTGCTGCAGCAACATGATTGCTGAATCTAGAGTAATAGTTGAAGTTGTTTCTCCCACTGTTTTCTGTACTGGAGTGGTGGTTTCCTTCCTTCTTACAGTAGTAGATTGTGTGTGTGCATGTGCACTAAAATTATGACATCATTAAAACTGAAGAAATGAAAGTGAACTTTTTGGGGGTTGATTCAGACAGCTTTACTCAACCGGTTGGAGAGAATTTTCGAAGCCTGTTTTCCTTCTGTACTTGTCCCGGATGCTGATGAGGAAGTTACTTCCCTGAAGCACTTGCTGGAAATCAACACCTCACCGATAAAAACAAGAGAGGCCTTAGCTGAAAGCGGGTAAGTAGTAGATGGTTCTTAGAGAACATTAGATCCTGTTAATTTCAATTGTTCTAATTTGTAAAGATTTTTCACAGCATTGTTTTAAAATATATTTGAAGCCAAAAACATCCCTGAGATGTTTCTTTTGATGTTATGTTACCTCTGACTACATAGTCCAGACTGTACCCAAACTCAGGGCCTCCCACTTCAGCCTCTCAAGGGCTGAAATCACAGGTATTCGTCAGAACACCCGACTTTAATGTATCACCACACTTGGCTTAACTGAAAATTTAGATCTTCTGCTATTTTGTTTTCATCTTCTCAGTACATTTATCTCACTTTGGTTTTGGTTTATTTTTAAATCTCTTATTTTCCTTTTAACTGTGTAAATACTATGTGCTCTATGTGCTATGAAATCCCACATTCTGAGGAGCTGTAGGTGTAGAGCAGTTGTAGCTCACTGACTTAGCCTGCTTGTAAAAGGCCCCAGGTCTCTAGCACTGGAAAGGGAAGAGAGGCTGTTTTGTTGTTGTTATTTTTTGTTTGTTTGTTTTTTCTGTTTTTTTTTTTTTTCTAGACAGGATTTCTCTATGGCTTTGGAGGCTATCTTGGGACTAGCTCTTATAGACCAGGCTGGGCTCGAACTCACAGAGATCCACCTGCCTCTGCCTCTGGAGTGCAGCAGAGGAAGCCCTCTGCTGGGATTACAGCGTCTAGCTTTTTTTTTTTTTTTTTTTTTTTTTTATCCACAAATTTTTGAGCATTGACATGACATTCAAAATGTCTATAATTGTGGAGCATTTCATTTAGATGCCTGACTGGGAAACTCTACTCAGGTATTCCAAAACCTAAAACACTCTGAAGCCAAAAACACATCTGCTCTCAAGCACTTTACATAGTCTCTCTCCTTTATTTTCTATATCTTCCCTGCCCCTGAGAGCCTGTTCTGTAGGTGGAGTTTTCCTGTTCTGGCAGCCATTTCCCAAATAACCGAAACAGAGGCTTAATATGACTTATAAATGCTTGGCCAATAGTTCATGCTTGTTACTAACTAGCTCTCACAACTTAACCCATTTCTGTTGATCTATGAATAGAAAAGCTTTTTCTATTCATTTCTATTTTTTATGAATAGAGGCTTTTACATCTATTCCATTTTGTGTGTCCAACTCATTCTCCATCTAGCTGATGACTCACTCCTCTGACTCTACCCTTCCTCATCCTATCATTCTGTTTGGCTTTCCCACCTAGCTTTATTCTGTTCAGCTATTGGCCAAGTCATTAAACCAATCATAGTGACATATTCACACAGTGTACAGAAGGATCATTCCACAGCACTATTCATAAAATCTTACTTGATCAATTTTTACTTGTGATCAAATTTATCAGGCTGCCATCCCCTGCTTCACCTCCACCAAGTCTCTCGCTCCTATTTAGAATGGTTCAGCTGAGGCCTCTTTATACCTGTCATCTTAAGACTTCCCTTATATACTATTTGATGTAGCCTTTTAGGGAGGAAGATGTACAAGAAACAAAGCTGTTGTATATTTTATTAGTGCAGGTTTATACATTGTTGCTGATCTGACATTCCACAATGAAGTATCTTGATGTGAGTCTTTTCACTCATTACACTGATAGCTTGTTCTTCAGTAGTGAACATTCCTTTTATAGTTTTACCTTTACAGTTATCATCTCTCCTTTCCTGAGATTCCTGTTCATTATTTGATGTTAGGGTATCTAAATTCGTTTTCTGTAAATTCAAAATTAATTCCATTTCTGGGCTTTCTTTTTATACTTTATCATTCTCTGCCTCTGGAAGCATCCTTTCCTTCTCAAGTTTTCTCTCTTTCCCATTAAACTAAGTTACTTGTAACTTGTTTGTCCCTCTTTGTGGCCTCAGTATTTCTGGTGTAGGCTTTCAAAAAGGTACAAATCTCATTCCAAGAGATTCAATCTAAGAAAGTGATTCACCATACAATAATATACCCCATAAAATACTGGAAGATGGCCACTGCCAACCTAATAATAGGACCCAAGTAGTAAAAGACATCTTACTGAAAGCTGTAGACTGTAACTAAATAAACGATGGTTCATTGGCTTAATTGAGTATTATGTGGCTATTGGCAAAGTCAGAGCAGTCCCTCCCTGTCCACAAAGAATGTGTTTCAAGATCCCTGAAAATGCCTACAATATTGAATAGTGCTAATGTCTATACATGCTGTGTTTTTTCTATATGTCTACAAATCCTCTAAATTAAACATAGTAAGAGATTATAACTAGTAACTAATAGAAGATTATACTGTAATAAGAGCTATATGAATATGATCTCTCAGCATGTTTTATTGTACTGTGATATGAGATGATACAGTGTCAATTTGATGATATGATATAAGGTGAATACTCATAATTAAAAATTAATGTATTATGTCTTACTAGAATTTCTCCTTTAATATTTTCATACCATAGTTGGCCACAGGTAACTGAAAACCATAAAAAAGAAATGACAATGACAGATAGGGTAGAAGGTACTACTGTACATATGCAGGCCAGAAAATGCATTCTGAGAAATAAATAGAAAATTATATATTACATATCTATGTATAGAGAGAAAGATATATAACATAATTGCACCTTTGTTTGTGGATCAAGACTGAAGGACATAACCAGGTGTTGGTGGCACACGCCTTTAATTCCAGCACTCGGAAGGCAGAGGCAAGTGGATCTCTGTGAGTTCGAGGCCAGCCAGGTCTCCAGAGTGAGTGCCAGAATAGGCTCCAAAGCTACACAGAGAAACCCTATCTCAGGGGGAAAACAAAAGACTGAAGGACAGTTGGACATGGTAGTGTATAATTTCTGCACTCTAGAGGCTAAGGCAAGAAGATCCAGAGGCCAGGTCTACCTGAGCATGTCTCAAACCACAAAAAAGAGAAAACCCAAATATTGAGTAACTATTAAAATGATAGGTTCCAGGTGATTTTTTTCTTTTAAATATTGATTTTTTTTTTTAATATCTCATGTACGACAGGCTAACCTGGCACTTACTATGCAGCCAGGAATGAACTTGAACTTCTGATCTTCTTCTCCTGAGTGCTGGGATTGTAGGCCTGCACCACTTCTCAGTGCTGGGATGGAACCCAGGGATTTGGGCATGCAGGGCAGCACTCAGCCAACTAAACTGTAGCCCCAGCCCTTAAATGTTTTCTTTTACAATAAAAATGAACATTCTAGGACTGTAGCGATGGCTCAGCAGTTAAGATCACTTTGCTCTTGCAGAGTACCTAGTTTCAGTCCCTGGCACCAACATGGTGGCTTACAGTTTTCTATAACTCCAGTTTCAGGGGATTTGACACCCTCTTCTGGCCTCTGAACATTAGGCACAAATATGGTGCACACACACACATGCAGACAAAATACTCATACATATAAAATAAATAATCTTTTTAAGGAACAAGCTAGTTGCTGGACTATTTCTTCATAAGAGTTTAACTTACCTTTCTAATTACTGTTAGTGCTGGCTTTTGATTGCACTGAGATAACAGTTGATACAAGATTAATTGCAATGCCTAGTATATCATTAATGTATTGAAGGTGAAGTTTATGGTGAAAGTGCTTGAATAACCTGTTGTTGGCTTCATTGTGGCCTTTACAGTGAACTGCTGGATGTATGGACGGAACTGCAGGATATTCATGATGCACATGGCTTGAGATACCAGTGGGGTGGCTCCCATAGCAACAAGAAGCTTTTGTGTGCTTTGGGAATAGACACTCGAAACATTGTGAGTTTGTTAGAATCTTGAAAAATCCTTTGGTCAGCGTGTTCATTTTTTAAGTTTACTATTCTGTTTAAGCTGTGACTATTTCTCTACAGAGAAATGGTTGGCTTGAATGTTCATTTATTTTGAATATGGCAAAGACACTGTAATGTTCCTCTTAAAGTCAGTGGTCCTTTTTTTTTTATTTGATTGACTGATTGATTGATTGATTGATTGATTGATTGATTGATTGATTGATTATGTATACAGTATTCTGCCTGCCTGTATGCCTGCATGCCAGAAGAGGGCATCAGATATCATTATAGATGGTTGTGAGCTGTCATATGATTGCTGGGAATTGAACTTAAAACCTCTGGAAGAGCAGCCAGTGCTCTTAATTGCTGAGCCACCTCTCCAGCCCAAGTCAGTGGTTCTCAACTTTCCTAATGCTGTGACCCTTTAATACAGTTTCTCATGTTGCAGTGAGTTCATAACTTTCTTATTTTCGTTGCTACTTCATAACTGTAATTTTGCTACTGTTATGAATCATAATGTAAATATCTGATAGGCAATCGCTATGAAAGGTTTGAGACTCAGAGGTTAAGAACTACTCTGTTTGCTTTTCCTTAACTGTAAAATGGAAGATTGGACCGGGTTACATATTTATACACATGTAGTATATATGTCTGTATGAGCCCATAGGAAAGCTTATAGTTTATTCTGTTCATCATTCACAGTATATATACTAAAACATTGTAAGCATGTTAGAAACAATTTTATTGTGTGACAGATAACTCATTCTCTAATACATGTACTTTCTCCCTAATGCAAACATAGCTGTTTACTGGCAATAAGAAGCAACCTGTTATAGTGCCCATGTATGCAGCAGGGTTGGTAAGTACAGAATATTTCTACATATATTCATCTTTGTTTCATTTATTTTTTAAAACCATCTTACGTAGCATGACAAAAAAAATAGTTGCTTGTTTTGAGATACAGTCTTTGTATGCAGACCAGGCTGGCATAGAATTCTCTATATAAACAAACAGACTGGCCTTGACTTACAGAGATTCACCTGTCTGGCTTTGCCTCCTGAATGCTAAAATTAAATCACTACACCTGTCAGAAAGTGTTTTTGTTGTTGTTATTTTGTTTGGTTGGTTTTGGGGTTTTTTGTTTGTTTGTTTGTTTTGGGGTTTTGGTTTTTTGGTTTTGGTTTTTGGTTTTTTGGTTTTTCAAGATAAGGTTTCTCTGTGTTAACAGCCCTGGCTGTCCTAGAACTCACTCTGTAGACCAGGCTGGCCTCACAAAGATCCACCTGCCGCTGCCTCCTGACTGCTGGGATTAAAGGTGTGTGCCACCACTCCTGCCCACAGGACCAGGGTCTGGTCTCACCTTCATAAGGCAGACATTAAAGCTGAGCCATCCCCTTGCCTGTCTTTTCTAAACTTTTAAAAAGAAAAACAGGAGATAAAGTACCTGAAACCTTAGAGATATATTTTAATTCAAATCTTAATTTTAAATAAAACAACATTGAGATAATGGATATCAAAAGAGCTTGACAGTACCAAATTATAGTATATGAAAATGAGCTAGAACCTTGAAGTTTCTATTAATATTTTAATATTTTTAATGTAAATTTTGTTTTTCCAGATATGCCAGAGAGTTCTGGCAAATGGGCATTTTTTATTTTATTTTATTCTTTAGCAAGATTCAGTCACATTTTGTAGCTTTGTGGGGAGTGGGTATGCATGTGTGGTCAGTGTGCATGTGGGTACACGTATGCATAGAGGCCAGGGTAGGACATAGTAGTCCTGCTCTATAACTCTCAGCTTTATTCCTTAGAGACAGATTGCTCACTGAACTTGGAGCTAGGCAACAAGCCCCAGCCAAGCTTCTGTGTCCAGCACTCACAATGCTGGGGTTACAGGCATTCATGAACAGCCACACCCACTTTTTAGGTGGGTCCTGCAGATTTTAGCACAGGTCCTCAGGCTTACACAGCAAACATTTAGTGCTATCTTCCCAGCCTCTCAGTCACATTTTAAAGTTTGTGGTTTTGGGGTTAACTACTCCTAAATGAAAATGTCCTATCCATTAAGCTAAAAAATGTCATGTTATTATAAGGAATAAATTGAATTTAAGGGGAAAATGTTGTAAAAACTAAAGAAAGTTGGGTGTGCTGGTACAGACCTATAATCCCAGCACTGAGGAGGTAGAAGCAGGAGGATCAGGAAGGAGTAGAGGGTATTCCTTTTCTCAAGGCTAGTTCAAGAGTAGCCTGGGCTACATGAGACCCTTGTCTCAAAGAATGAAAGAAAAAGTAAGGAATCATAAAACAGTCTAAATTTACCACCTAATGTGTGTGTAAAGTACAACTTGACTTTTCTTGATCCAGTTTATTTTCTATGAATAAGTACTAATTTTATTGGTACTGAACTAGAACATTGTGATTTGTGTTCGTAGTTTGTTGTGAGATTTTCTTTGCCGAAGCTTTCTTAACAGTTTCTGCTCCCTTATTTACCTTGTGCTGTATGCTTTTCTGTTCTAGGTAAATACAGTCCAGAATATTTCTCTAATTTATTGGTTATCTGGGTTTCTTTTTTCTTTTTTTTTTTTCAAACAGTAGTGCTCCAGAGGTTGTTGGTGTAGTCTCTTGATCTGAGTAGCAGCTAGGAATGTCACTTGTAGACAGTCTGGTGAGCTTGCCAGCAAGGACCTACATTATACACACGTGTCACATCACAGCATTAGCTGGCTCACAGTCCTGTGAGGAGTTGGTGGCTAAAGCTTACACTGCATTTTTAAACTTTACTGCCTATAATAGTAAAAATTTACTGTTTTTAAGCCCTGTACTAAAATTTATTTAGTGAACATAAATAGATCTTCCCACTTCTGTCTCTGTGGTTTCTGGATGTGGGTGGTAGGGGTACATGTTGCATGTCTCTGTCCATCTGCTTCCCCACCCAAGCAAGCATCACTGTGCCCACCTTATTTCACCTGAGTGAACATGAAAGTCCTCATGCTTGCAATGCCAGTACTTTATCCAGTAGTATCTGTAATACCAAAGTTTAATTATGTCTGTATTTTTTTCCCTGTGGTGCATTTTATATGAAGGAGTAGACCTGAGTAATTACTTAAGGTTCTAATTTTCCAATTTCATCAAAATTGATTTGAAGATTTAAGACACTGATTTCTGTGGTCTGGGTGTGATGGCACATGCCTTTAATCCCAGCAGTAAGGAGGCAGAGGCAGGTGATCTCTGAGCTCAAAGCCAGCCTGCCTAGTCTACAGATTGAAGTTTCAGGACAACCAGGAGTATACAGAGAATATATTGTCTTGAAAAAAACCAAAGAATCCAGGCAGTGTTGGCTCACACCTTTAATCCCAGCACTTGGGAGGCAAAGACAGGTGGATCTCTGTGAGTTTGGGTTTCAGGAAAACCAGAGCTACACAAAAAAACCCTGACTCCAAAAGAAAACAAGAAAAAAATGAGAAGGGAAAAAAAAAAAGACACAGATTTCTGGTGCTGCGTTAAGCTTTTTATTAAGTGAATCTGAGGCAAAACTTGAGAATTTATGCATCTGATAAAATTTTAGTGTTGTTAATTGGCAACCACAATTTGAGCACCACTGGTTTAAATCATAGTTCAAATTAAGAAATTTAGCTGACATAGCCAGGCATTGGTGGCTCACACCTTTAATCCCAGCACTTGGGAGGCAGAAGCAGGCAAATCTCTGTGAGTTCCAGGCCAGCCTGGTCTACAGATCGAGTTCTAGGACAACCTCCAAAGCAATACAGAGAAACCCTGTCTTGAAAAACAAACAAACAAAAAAAGAGTACCAAATATGTTTTCTTGTTCTATAAGAACATATTAAAGAACCTGTAGAATACATATGTGGTACTAAGTTGACCATGAACTTATTTTCATCTTTCTGTCTAGTACATGAAAGCCTGCCATGTGTATTAGTGTGAAGAATTGGGTCTGTGGAAAGGGGAAGAGTTGAATGTATAAGTTGTTTTTATCAGTTTACACCTCTGTGGGAGTGGGGATTCTTCTTAACAGGCATCTTTAGAAATCTACAGGTTCTGAAGTTACTGTCTTAGCAGCTTTGATTTTGAACACTCATACTACATAGAGTTAAGAGTGACTGGTGTGTAGATATATATGTTCTAAATATTCAAGAGCTTAGAAAGTGTGTTTGAGCTGGGCGGTGGTGTTGCATGCCTTTAATCCCAATACTCAGGAAGCAGAGGCAGGCAGATTCAAGGCCAGCCTGATCTACATAGTGAGTTCCTAGACAGCCATGGCTATACAGAGAAACTGTCTCGAACCCCCACTCCCACAAAAGTGTGTTTGAATTGTTTCAGATGCAGTGGAGTATATAGTGTTTTCCTCTCTGAAATGGCAGTCTCTATACTTTATTTGCTGAACCCAGGATCTAAGTACTGAAACACCAGCTCAGATTTAAACACATTAAATTCATACTAGAAGACATTGTGTTTTCAACATACCACCATGTAAAAAGGTTTCCTTTTCATGTAATATTAGTGTCTTAAGCATCATAAAGCAAAAATCTTATTTAAAATGGAAGATTTGACTTAAAAAATTTTATTCTAAAATAATCTTTTATATATAGTATTTTGAAAATGATTTTTTTCTTTTAGATTGCCATTATTATAAACTTTGTGTTGATCGATCTCCAATGAATGACTAATATACCTTTTTCAGGGTATGTTAGAGCCTACCAAGGAACCATTGAAGCCACTATCTGCTGCAGAAAAAATTGCTTCTATTGGCCAGACAACCATCATGACACCAGAAATGAATACATGTACATCTGATCCATTCCAGGTAAAAATATTTGTATGTGTGTAAGCATGTATATAGACACATTACCACACATGCTAGTTTGTTTTCTTTAATACATGTTTTTATCTTTATATTTGTAAAACTTCATGGTAAACATGTTTTTGATTGTTAATTAACATTCTCAGAATACAGTGGACAAATTATCTGTAATTTTCAAAAACAAAAAGATGCCTGGGTAGCGGTGGCACACGCCATTGATCCCAGCACTTGAGAGGCAGAGGCAGGTAGATCTCTGTGAGTTCGAGGCCAATCTGGTCTACAAAGTGAGGTCCAGGACAGCCAGAGCTACAAAGAGAAATACTGTCTCACAAGAGAATGAGGAGAGAGAGAGAGACAGATAAAACATAGGTCCAATCCTTTAAAGTGTGTTTCAAGAAACACCTGTTGTTACTGCTGTATGCCACTGTGGTTTATTCTTGGGCATAGTTTATTTCATTTCCAAGCCAGAATATTGTTAGCTTGGTATTAGTAGATAGCCAAGCCTGGTATGCACACTGCCTGGCTTTATGAATGGTCGGTACCCTCCTGGTCTCAGGTACCCTCCTTTCCTTGCCCTCACACATCACTCACAGGCCTACTCTGCCTGAGCTGATTCCTAAAGTTATCTGCCACAGCACATTTAGTTCTACCTTGATTATCATCCTCATTGCTACAGTGTTAGCTGCTTTGGTATACTTACTGAAAATGGAACTTTTGTATTGAGACACTTCATATACCTTCTTTCTTCTTTTCCTCCTCTATACAGCCATCCTCTTGCTTATGTCATTGGAGTTAGCTGTTGCTTGTCATTTTGCCCCTACATCTTAGAAGCTTCTTCTGGTCATAGCCTTACACTGTGTTATATTTTTATATTATTTAATTCAGACTTAAGACATATTCCAGTTAACCAAATGAAATACATTTAATTTGGAATTTTGTGCTGAGTTGCTTAGCTCCATACCTGTGATTCAGCTTAAAAGAGGCACCTGAAGTGTATTATGAAGATCTTCTTCACATAAAGCCATAAGTTTCACCCCTAGTCATCGGGATGCCATGTATAATTTTCATGTCACTTTTTTGGTCCATACAGTAATATTGTTGTATCTGGTGGTGGTTGTACTTTTCTAGTGACATGACCATAGCCGGTAATGCTGAAAGTTTGCAAATTATATCAGGAATACTTGTTCTCATTCTCTCCCTCCCCCTCCCCATAAAGCATACTTCCTTGTGTGTTTTCATTTTTAGCATCACTGAATAGTGACTTTCAAGCATACCATAGTTGCATAATTGCATAATTTCTTTTTAATCTACCTAATCTATCCCAATTTAAATACTTTTTTTATGGTTTGGGTCCCCCCCCCCCCACCTGAGTAGGATTTGTCAGTCCTACAACCATTGCTTCTCCTGTTGAGGGGTTTTAAAACTTTGGAGCCAAGTGTACTGACACATCTGTAATTTCAGCACTTGGGAGACTGAGGCAGGGAAATCTTGAGTTCAAGGTGAGAGGGAAATTAGTAATGGCACCATACAAATGTAAAAGGAGGAGATACCAGGGTGGCTTTTTTTGAACTCAAATTTCATTGTATGGAGGCAAGTATGACTGGCAATATCAACCTGGTCATCAGTAACCGCTTCAGCCACTTGATAGAGCTATTTTAGTTGTGGATCAGTGTTAAGACTCAGGGTGGAAAATGGTTATCTCATACCATGCACCCCTTTTCAATAAGGAAACATGCTTGAGAAAGCTAAATGACTTGCCCAAGACCATGCGTCAGTGGGTCAGACCTGGGATAGAGCCAGGTCTCATTTCACCACCTCCATGTTTCTGTCCTACTTACAAACTAGGTTTCCCCCAGCATTATCTTAACCAGATATCCATGGTATTTCAAAGACAGAACAAAGAAAAGACCTGCGTGTCCTTTGTCTACATGCCCCTTTGCTACCTTTCGCATAATTATAGTAAATATAAAGTACAATCAGGAATGAGATAGGTTCTTGTTTATATAGGTGTGTATCATGTGTGGATGTAGGTAACCACCCCATAGTCAACATACAGAACCCTTCACTCACTACAGAGACCTCCTTAGGAGCTGAGAGTGTAGCTCAATGGTGGACAAGTGTCAGGCCCTTGGGAGCTAGTGCACAACACAGACACGGAACAAAGACACCCTGAGTAGTTATGCTATACCTCTTTCCCACTGTCTTTTATCTCTGGCATCTCTTTTCTTAATTTTTATTTAAGTTAAAAACCATCTTATTTTACATACCAATCCCAGTTCCCTCTCCCTCCCATCCTCCCATGCCCCTCACTAGCCCCTCTATCCCACCCTGCATCCACTCCCTAGGGAAGGGGAGGCCTCCCATGGGGGATCATCAAATTCTATCACATCATTTGGGGCAGGACCTAGGCCCTCCCCCTTTTATCTAGGCTGAGAGAGTATCCCTCCATAGGGAATGGGCTCCCAAAGCCCATTCATGCACTAGGGATAAATACTGGTTCCACTGCCAGAGGCCCCATAGACTACCTAGGCCCCCCAACTGATACCCACGTTCAGGGTTCGGTCCTATGCTGGTTCCCCACTGTGAGACTGGGGTCCATGAGCTCTCACTTGTTCAGGTCAGCTGTTTCTGTGGGTATCCCCAGCATGGTCTTGACCCCTTTGCTCATCACTTCTCCCTCTCTACAACTGGATTCCAGGACTTCAGGTCATTGCTTAGCTGTGGATCTCTGCTTCTGCTTCCATCAGCTACTGGGTGAAGACTCTAGGATGGCATTGAAGGTAGTCATCAATCTCATTATAAGGGAAGGGCATTTAAGGTAACCTCTCCACTGTTGCTTAGATTCTCAGTTGGGGTCATCTTTGTGGAACCCTGGAGATTTTTCCTAGTGCTAGATTTCTCGGGCGGGGGAGAGAGGGGTCCATGTATGTCTCTCTTAGGGAATGCCTTGTTTTCTAACTTCTCTGGGTTTGTGAATTGTAGGCTGGTAATCCTTTGCTCTATGTTTAATATCCACTTATGAGTGAGTACGTACCATATTTGTCTTTCTGTGTCTGGGCTACCTCACTCAGGATGGTTTCTTCTAGTTCCATCCATTTGCCTGCACATTTCAAGATGTTACTCTTTGTTTCCACTGAGTAGAACTCTGTTGTGTAAATATACCACATTTTCTTTATCCCTTCTTCAGTTGAGGGACATCTAGGTTGCTTCCAGGTTCTGACTATTACAAATAATGCTGCTGTGAACATAGTTGAACAGATGTCCTTGTGGTATGAATGTGCATCCTTTGGGTATATGCCTAAGAGTAGAATTGCTGGATCTTGAGGTAGACTGATCCCATTTTCCTGAGAAACTGCCATACTGATTTCTACAGCTGTACAAGTTTTTATTCCCACCAGCAATGGAGGAGTGTTCCCCTTTCTCCACATCCTCTCCAGCATAAACTGTCATTGTTTTTGATTTTAGCCATTCTGACAGGTGTAAGATGATATTTCAGAGTTGTTTTGATTTGCATTTCCTTGATGGCTAAGGATGTTGAGCAATTTAAGTGCCTTTCGGCCACTTTATATTCCTCTATTGAGAATGCTCTGTTTAGTTCTGTACCCCACTGTTTAATTAAATTATTTGGTGTTTTGGTGACTAGCTTCTTGAGTTCTTTGTATATTTTGGAGTTCAGCCCTCTGTCAGATGTGGGGTTGGTGAAAATCTTTTCCCATTCTGTGTGCTGCCGTTTTGTCTTGTTGACTGTGTTCTTTGCCTTGCAGAAGCTTCTCAGTTTCAGGAGGTTCCATTAGGAAATCCAGAGAGTCATCAGGTCATATCTCTGGCATCTCTTAATGTTAGCATTTTACTTGGTTTTATACCTTCCTCCTCAGCCTCTAAACTGGACAGGCGGGATTTGATTTTTTGGAGACTAAATGCTTTTACTAATTTGCCTATCCCTATTTTACCAAAACAATTATAGTATCTTCCCCAAAGAACTAATTCATGTTCCTATCTTACATATAGTAGCATCTTTACCTGGAAAAAAAGTAAGTATAATGTTGTAATAGCACCTTCCATACAGTGAAGCATGGCTAGCAATACCAACAATATGAACATAAATAAACAACAACATGTTGATATTTAAAAATCTAATAGAACACAAGTTATTTCCATAAGTGTTGTTAACACAGCAACAAAAGAGAAAACAAAACAGTTTTCTATATAAAACACATGTTCTTTAAATAAGTAGTCATTTCATTTTAACATCTGTCAACTAGCTTCTCTTTTTTCTTTTTTTTAATTAGTTTTTACATTCTAATTCCAGTTCCCCCTCCCTCTTCTCCTCCTGCTCCCCTCAGTCTCCCCACCCTGTCTGCTACACAGAGAGGGTAAGGCCTCCCCTAGGAAGTCTACTAAGTCTGTCCCTTCATCTCATTGAGGCAGAACCAAGGCACCTCTCCACCCCCCACACCCCTGTGTCTAGGCTGAGCAAGGTACCTCTCCATATAGAATGGGCTCCACTATTCAGTTTGTGTGTTAGTGTTAGATCTTGGATCCACTGCCAGTGGCCTCATATTGTCCCAGTCAAACCATTGTCACCTATATTAAGGGAGTCTAGTTCAGTCCTATGCAGGTCCCCCCTTTGTCAGCCCTGAGTCAGTGATCTCTCACTAGCTCAGGTCAGCTGCTTCTGAGGGGTTCCCCATCATGGTCTTGACTCCTTCGTTCATATTATCACTCCTCCCTCACTTCAATTGTACTCCAGGAGCTTGGTCCATTTGTTAGTTGTGGATTTCTGCATCTGCTTCTGTCTGTTTCTGGAGGAGAATTCAAGCTTCTCTGGGGTTATGGATTGTAGGCTGGGTGTTTTTTGCTTTATGTCTGGTATCCACTTATGAGTGAGTACATACTATATTTGTCTTTCTGGTTCTGGGTTACCTCACTCAGGATGTTTTGTTTTTGTTTTTGTTTTTTTGGTTTTTTTTTCTAGTTCTGTCCATTTGCCTGTGAACTTTAGGATGTCATTGTTTCTTACTGCTGAGTAGTACTCCATTGTGTAAATATGCCACATTTTCTTTATCCATTCTTCAGTTGAGGAACATCTAGGATGTTTCCAAGATCTGGCTATTACGAATAATGTAGCTATGAACATAGCTGAGCAAATGTCCTTGTGGTGTGAATGTGCCTCCTTCGGGTATATGCCCAACAGTGGTATTGCAGTCTTGAGGTAGGTTGATCCCTAATTTTCTGAGAAATCTCTCTACTGATTTCCACAACGGCTGTACAAGTTTGTAATCCCACCAGCAATGGAGAAGGGTTCCCCTTTCTCCACATCCTCTCCAGCATAAGCTGTCATTGGTGGTTTTGATCTTAGCCATTCTGATTGGTATAAGGTGGAATCTCAGAGTGGTTTTGATTTGCATTTCCCTAATGACTAAGGATGTTGAGCATTTCCTTAAGTGTCTTTCTGCCATTTGAGATTGTTCGGTTGAGAATTCTCTTTTTAGTTCTGTTCCCCATTTTTCTTTCTTTTTTTTTTTTTTTAAGTGAGAAGTTTTATTAGAAAGGGGGAAACAAAGAGAAAAGAGGTAAAGAGACACAGGGAGAGGACATAAGAGAAGAGGGAGACAGTCCTGTCTGGCCCAGGGAAACAGCGAAAACCCCATTTTTCAATTGGATTATTTGGTATTTTGATTTCTAGTTTCTTGAGTTCTTTGTATATTTTGGAGATCAACCCTTTGTCAGATGTGGGGTTGGTGAAGATCTTTTCCCATTCTGTAGGGAGCCATTTTGTCTTGTTGACTGTGTTCTTTGCTTTACAGAAGCTTCTCAGTTTCATGAGGTCCCATTTATTAATTGTTGCTCTCAGAGTCTATGCTACTGGTGCTCTATTTAGGAAGTGGTCTCCTGTGCCTATGTGTTCAAATGTATTTCCCACTTTCTCTTCTGTGAGGTTCAGTGTGGATGGATTTATATTGAGGTCTTTGATCCATTTGGACTTGAGTTTTGTGCATGGTGATAGATATCGATCTATTTGCATTCTTCTACATGTTGACAGCCAGTTATACCAGTACCATTTGTTGAATATATTTTCTTTTTTCCATTTTATATTCTTAGCTTCTTTGTCAAAAATTAGATGTTAATAGGTGTGTCAGTTGATATTGGGGTCTTTGATTCAATTCCATTGGTCTGCCTGTCTGTTTTTAAGCCAATACCAAGTTGTTTTCATTACTATAGCTCTATAGTAGAGCTTGAAGTCAGGGATGGTGATGCACCCAGATGATCCTTTATTGCACAGGATTGTTTGGCTATCCTGGATTTTTTTGTTTTTCTATATGAAGTTGAGTATTGTTCTTTCAAGGTCTGTGAAGAATTGTGCTGGGATTTTGATGGGGATTGCATTGAATCTGTAGATTACTTTTGGTAGGAGTGCCATTTTTACTATGTTGATCCTGCCTATTCAAGGGCATGAGAGATATTTCCATATTCTGATATCTTCTTTAATTTCTTCCTTTAAAGACTTGAATGCCAACTATCTTCTATTTGATATTTACCATAGATCACTTTATGTTATGAAATTTAAAGACTTAGAGTAGTCAAACCAGTTATAACAATTAATTTTAGGTCCAGAGGTAGTGGTGCAAGCCTTTAATCCCAGAACTTGGGAGGCAGAGGCAGGCAGATCTCTTGTGAGTTTGAGGCCAGCCTGGTCTACAGAGCTAGTTCCAGGACAGGCTCCAAAGCTACAGAAAAACCCTGTCTTGAGAAACGAAAAAAATGAATGAATGAATGAATGAATGAATGAATGAATGAATGAATGAATGAATGAATGGGAATTCATTTTTAGTGCCTAAATCTCCCAGGCATGGTAGTGCATACAGTGATCTCACTTGGAGGACTGAACAAGAGTGCAAATTCAAAAACCAGCCTGGCCTCACAGAGTCAGTTTAAGGCCAACCTGAACAATGAAACAAGACCCTGTCTCAAAAAAGGAAAAAAAAAAAATCTTGATTCCAAGTAATTTGGCCAGAGAACTTGACTAAAACAAATCCCTGACCTGTTATGGGGGCATACAGTGACATGTCTGCAATCTAGATATTCAATGGCTGGAAGCACAAGGACAGTAGGTTTGAGACTAGCCTGAGAAATTTATCAGGACCCTAACTCAAAAATACATTAATTGGGCTGGAGAGATGGTTTAGTGGGTTAAGAACACTTGCCTTTGCAAGCATGAGGACCTAAGTTTGAATCTCAAAGTCTATAACCCCAGCACTGTGCAGGGCAGACAGGATGGTCCCTGGAGCTTGCTGACTGGCAGCCTAGCTCCATGTTTGCTGAGAGACCCTGTTTTAAAGGAGTAAGGTAGAATGGGATAAAGCAGGATGTCCAGTGTCTTCCTCTGGTCTCCCCCACCCCCAACACACACACTCACACTCTCTCTCTCTCTCTCTCTCTCTCTCTCTCTCTCTCTCTCTCTCTCTCTCTCTCACACACACACACACACACACACAAATCTGAAAATTAGCACTTTAAAAATGTACATCCCAGCCAGGCATGGTGGCATACACCTTTAATCCCAGCACTCTGGAACCAGAAGCAGGTGGATGGCTGAGATTGAGGTCAGCCTGGTCTGTATAGTGAGTCCCAAGACAGCCAAGACTACATAGTACCTTATTTCAAAAACAAACAAAAAAAGTGTGCATCCACTTATTGGCCCACAGTTTCTTTTCTTCTGAAGTCGGGAAACTTGTAAAGAACTAGAGACTTTGGAATCTATACCTTCTCGTTTTACATATCATGAGACTAGCTAAGTTAGTAAAGATCACATGTAACTAATTATCATCTTCAACTATCCAAATTCACTTTCAGTGTAGTTCCTTCTCTGTTATATCACATTTTATCTGCTAGTGTTACATGCTAGTATTTAAAATAAATGTAATCACACAAAAAAAGTCTGTTTTAAATCCTTTTCTTAACATCTAACAGTTTAAAATAGAACATAGAAAAGATTGAAATAGAATCAGTCCATAAAATTGCTTGAAAATTTAAAGATACTCCTTTGTTGGATGTAAATTTTATAATGTCAATAAGCATACTGTTTATAAATTGTGCAATTTCAGTTTGTGTTAATATTTGCAAGTAACCTGAAATTGTATATTATCCAAATTTGTCTATAGGTACATTGTTGCCTAATGGTCTTGCTGTATTTTGGGGGTTTTGCTTTAAGGATTCTTTATGTTGCTACTACCTATACTGATTAATTTTGATTTTTTTTGTTTTGTTTGTTTGTTTGTTTTCATTGTTTTCAACTCTAGGAGTCTCTCCCACCCGTCCAGTTTGACTGGAGTAGCAGTGGCCTTACTAACCCTTTAGATGGTACGTCTCTCCGTAGAGCCTCTAGCACCAGAGCTAGAGTTAAGAAAGCTACACAGTTCAGACAGACTTCTCTCTGCTGATTTCCGTTTTTTGTTTAAACATAACTTCTTATTCTTATCTTTGGAAATTCAGGCTTTCTTTCTAAATAGTAATTGCTCAAGACACCAGCCATTACTATTATTAGCAGTATTAATACCCAAATATTGGTAGTAATACCAAGGTAAAGTTTTAGTTCCTTTATCTTAAGTCAAAATTAAATAGTTCAAATATTTTAGCTAGGACCAATTTATTTGAATGTTTTATAGCTTTACTTTGTGAGATCTTGGATACAAAGTCTTGTGATTTGAGGTTGCCTCAAAGCATAAAGCACAATTAATTATTCAGTTAACCAAATACAGACAAATCCGTATTTATTGATTTAATGTAGTTTTCAGATTCAGTAGCATTTTGTAGAGTACTTAATATGCAAATGAAGATGAATGATTTTCATGATTATTTTGAAATTTATCTCCAAATAATGACAGGGCAGTTCCAGAAATCAGTGGTTTTTCTTAGGACTTTAAAACTCTGAAAGGGGAGTCACTTACACAAGTCCCATGAAGTCTTTAACACACAGTGCTAGTTTTATAGTCCATGCTATGGGTTTTCAGTGGACCCTGAGTTATAACTACTACTTAAGCCATTTGAGCCATTGTATAGAATATCTGTTAACGTCATCTCAGTGGCATTTACCATGCCATTGCCTCAGATACTCTTGCCAGCTTTTTCTTGTAGCTAGGATCCTAGGACACCTGGAAACCATCAATTGAATGTCCTGCTGAAGGAAAGCCTGGATGCACCTTTTGCTATTGTCTGGTGTCTTCAGTCAAATCATCATGCTTTTTATTAACAACTTCTTTAAAAATGTATACTATGTGATGACTGTGGCAGAGTTAAAGGGGAACAGTACAGCTTGCACATCAGGGTACAGCAGTTAGACCATCCATAATGCATTATTTTAAATAAGTTAATGTTTTTATTGGTGCATGTCCTAAAACTCACAACTCTGTCATTGTTTTAAAAAGCTTTCATTAGAAACCAGAAATTGTTCATAGAAACCAACATGAAAGATTGGGCATGTAGTGATTTAATATTGGGTTAAAATTAAGTATTGTTTCCCTTTAACTAGTATGCCTTCCCTGGTCTTTCTGATACCTTTCAGTTTTGATTGAAAGAACTGACTTCTAACTAAAACCTAACAAAGTGTTGTTATATTCTTTATAATGTACATGAGAAACTATACATTCAGTTAAATTGTTACTTTAGTTATGAAAACCTAATACTGTACACATTGTTTTAATGTTGATTTTTAAAATGTGTAATGACTACTAATTATAACCTGCATGTTCAAGTGTGTGTCTTACCCCTTTTTACACATAACCCCTCCTCCCTTGGCTTACCTTCTGTGTGGCTGCCTACCAACACGGTCACTGAATTCCAAGCTAGTGGAGGTTCCACTCTTCTGAACCTTGATTTCTTTGGGCCCGTGGATGACAGTAGCTCTAGCGGCAGCACAATCCCAGGTCAGCAGAGTGTTTAAGCACAGTTCTGGTTATTTACTAAAAGCATGACCACACTTGACTTTCCTATAAACAAGGAAACAGGTAGACTATATTCTCTCTAATACTTTTCCTTCATCCATCTTACTTTCTAATATCTGATTGTAAGGAACTACGCACATGAAGTACATCTTTGGAAAACTTTCTCAGAGGGTAGTGTTCAGAGCTGGCAGTGGTTTCTATGGTAATACAGCCCTGCTGGCTTTAGACAGCTAGGGATGTTTTGTTTTTCATCCCTCTTAGTGAAAAATGCATTTATATGCTTATTCTGAAAGCATATTTTATAAAGCCATTTGAAAGTAACACTAGTTTAGAGAGGGAAGGATGGTTTAGTACACAGAAATGGCTTTATGTTACAGTGTCTATAATAATGTAATTTTTATAAATTCAAGCATTTTAATTAGTCCTTATTAGTGCTGTTAAATATATAATTGAATCCAAAATGTTGGAATCTAGCATGTAGTTATATAGTTCCACATCAAAAAAATTACTATTTTTATGTAGCTCTTAAATAGAAAGTATACTGTTAGTATACATGTAGCAAAAAAAAAAAAAAATGCTAACAAAAGTTAATAGTAGAAAGTAATTGCTGTAAACCTAACAGCTAATAATTAAGCTTACTAGTACCTGTTAATGTTCAGCCATACAGATCATTCACCAAAGGACTAATGTACTTTGTCATTTTCTAACTAAATAAAAGATGGAAAGTATAATGGCATTTTAATGTTTACATTTTCTTGAATATGATTTTAATGAATTCCTGCCATTCCAAGTTGTGATCTGGGTAATTATTGATAATCAGACAGCTACTGGGGTTCTGTTCAGATGCTAACTTCTGGAATGCATATTGAGGATTTTTTTGTGCCCAGTAGTGGCCAATCTTGTAGCTAGCCTGGGTTCCTGAGAATTGGGGGTGTGAGGGGTTGAGTCTATAGGTAACTCAGTCACCCTCTTCAATGGTTTATCAGCCATGATGGTATATGAAGGGAAGCAACAAGTCTGCCAAGGGCAAGCCTGGACCCAGGATGCCCTTCTCTTATATCCAGCTACAAAAACCTGCTACTGCCACAGGAGAGCCCATAAATCCTATGGTAGAATGACGAGATTCCTCAGATCTAAGCTCCTAGTTTTCAAAATTCTTGCGGGTGTATGAAAAAAGTCTGTATTTGATTTTTCTTCTTACTTAAATTTGATATTTTATGAATTAAAGTTCTACTAAGTGTATATGATATATGGAACAACCTGGAGGAGCTAAAATGTCTGACAATTTATAATACTTACTGGAGGGAAAGGAGAAGCTGGAATTATCCAGGTTTCCTCCCAGTTTGCATTATAATTAAAGTGAGATCACTTTCTCTTTGGGGTGCCTAAAACTTGGTTTAGATTTTAAATGTGCTTATATTTTAAATTCATTTAAAAAGTATTGATAGGAGCACCAATAACCCACTTGCTTAGTGAAGTGAGAGACTTCCTGTTAATTGGGCTCAGGGTTCAGCTCCAAGTTTGAAATGTCTAACGCTGTAGTGGACATGAGCACAGCATGGTCCAATGCAGTCTCTACCCCTGTGAAACCTTTAATACTCTCAATTTCATCAGCATGCTCTATCTAGCTGCTGGATAAATTTGACTACAATAAATTTGCTTTGGCTTTTTATTATTATTCAGGTGTCAATCAATCTCTTCCTTAATGTTCCACCTTTACACTTGTTTGTTCTTTCTTAACTTGTTTATGGGAAAGTCATTTTATCTTAGCTTGCTGTTGATTATCTTGTGTGTGATTCTTAGGCGGGCATAGAACTTGGATGGCTATTTTAATTGTGTAATTAAGCTGTGCCTCATTAAGGTTCTGTTAAAGAAAAAACTTCCATTAAAAAAGTCTCTCTAGTCTTTACTAGATAATTGCCTTGTCTCTGAAAACATTAACTATAGTTGTTAGAGATCTCAGTCATTTTTTGGTTTGGGGGTAGTTTATGAAAGGGGAAGAATGTTTTGGGGGGCTAGAAAGGTGAATTTTTTTTCTATGTGGTCAGCACTATTCCTTTCAGTCTACCACTTTACTCTGATAACTGAATGTCCAAGGTTTTATAAACCCACCAAAGATTTTACTGGCACTTCCCTGTTGCCAGTCAGAATGCAAGTGTTCTGTATCATATAGACACCTCACCTTCAATATTGTGTTACTTGGGAGCTAACCTTTAACAGTGGAAGAGAGAGATAGTTTGGGCTCATTTGGTCTTTATATAGACATCTACAGTTTTATCCATTTTAACTTTGGCCTGTGTGCTTATTGTGGAAAAACTAAAGTTTTAAAGTCTGTCTCAAAAGTGTATGCTAATGAACTATAAAGAACTTGGAAGTCAACATGCACCTTCTCTCACCTTTCTCCCTTGATGGGCTTGGTAACTGTAGAAGCAGTTGCTCGTTTGTTTCTATAAACATCTGAAATCCACACTACTACCTATGCTCATCTACAGAGCTGGTTCACAAAGGAGAAAATTTGTTCATACATTTATTGTATTTTTTGCCTAATCTTACAGGCTTTTCTTAAAAAAAATAAAATTGAGCCAAGTACAGCCATGCACATCTGTAGTCTAGCTGAGGCAGGAGGATCATCTGAACTTGGGAGTTCAAAGCCAGCCTGAGCAATATTGTAACACCCTGTCTCAAAGAAAAAAAATAAATAAAAAATTGGAGAAGCTACCAAACATTTTTTGTAAACTGATGCTTAACTATAGCCCCATCTTAGCTTCCCTTCTGTTACTCCAGCTTGGTATCTAAATGAGGCTATACATATATAATTGGTCCTGGAAATAAGCATTTTCATTTCGTCCCAAAGTAGAGCTCCACTCACTCTCTCTGGAAGTGTTCTACCCTTTCCACCTCTTACTTGAAGTACATGCGTATATTGTTAGTAATAACTTAATGCTTTGAATAATTTTTCACATGTTTAGTCACAGTTAAGGTAACCAAATCAGTTTCTACAGTAGAGACTTTATATTATTCTCCAAGTCTCTGGCATAGAAGAAAATACTGGAGTTGAGCAAAGTTTAAAATGAGGTTCATTGGCCCATTTAAAAATTGAGAATTTTGAGCTGGAGAGATGGTTCAGGGGTTAAAAGCACTAGCTGCTTTTCCAGAAGACCTGGACCCCACCACCCACATGGCAGCTCACAACTATTTATAACTCCAGTTCCAGGGGATCCAAACAACTTTACACAGACATACATGCAAGCAAAACACCAATGCACACACACAAAAATAATAATTTTTTAAAAATTTGAGAATGTTGGAGGTCTGGTGTGGTGACTCATACCCATAATCCCAACATTCAGGAAGTTAAGGCAGGATAATTGTCAAAGCCAGTGTAGACTACAGAGTAAGACACCATCTCAAAAAATAAAAACATCATAGCTTGTTCATTCTATCTATAAACACTGATGACATGTCAGAATGAATGGAAAACTGAGTGATAGATACTTGTAGCATTTGGGAGCCATCAATTACATACAATATTTATTCTAAAATGGAATTTTTATGTGTTCCTTTTATAGATACTTCAAAGCCCACCATTTAATTAAAAATAAATAAATATGGGGTTAATTGGCTCAGTAGTTAAGAGCACTGGCTGCTCTTACAAAGGACCTGCGTTCTGCTCCCAACACCTACATGGTGGCTCACAACTATCTGTAACTCCAGTTCCAAAGGCTCCTATATCCCCTCTGGCCTCCTCTGGCACTAGACATTCATGTGATGTACATACATAAATGCAGACAAACACATAAAATAAAAAGTAAACACAGATAGCTCAGCAGGTAAAGGTGCTTGCTACCCAAGCCTGCTAACCTGAGTTCAAAGTTCTCCCCATGGTTTCTGGGGAGAAACCATGTAAGGGTGGGTATAAGGATGCACAGAGTTACCTGGCATTCACCCACTTGTGGTGTGCATGCCCTCATGCAGGCACAAACAGTAATGGCTTTTCACATTCAGAAAAGTAGTACATGATCTGACCGTGAGTGCTTATGCAGACTTGGATGTGACTAGGTATTGCTGTTGGGTTTTGGATTGTGGCTCACTGTAACCCACGTGGCTTGCCCTTACTCACTGTCGTTCTGTGCTGTAAGGTGTGGATCCAGAGTTGTATGAATTAACAACTGCTAAGCTGGAGACCTCCACCTCAAGCCTCAAAGTGACTGACGCTTTTGCGAAGCTCATGTCTACAGTGGAGAAGACAAGCACTTCGACCAGGTAAATCTGCTCTGAACTTTGCCCTGATTTTGTATCCTGGTTTAAGTGTCCACAAGCAAAGCATACAAGTGGCAGTGTTTGTGTGTTAAACTGACTTCATAGGTTAAAGCCAGTAGATGGCAAAGCCTAGAAAACACCATGAAATTAAGGTTCAGTGATAGACTTTATTGAAGATTAACAGATGACGTTTTCTTCTTCCCACACTCCTCCATAGAAAACAATTCTGGTTAAGTACTGAGATGCTGGTGCCACTGAGGAACATCCTGTCCCATCTTAACTTGTGGGGATAAAACATTTTTTTCTGAACCAGTTTCACACTGTGGGGACCACACCGGGTACCATGTTTTCTTTGAAGCTGAAACACTAAAAAAAAGACCCTTTTTCTTTTCAGAACTTTAGCTAATGTGCACCCTAACAAGGCATCATGTGTTCTTTTACCAAACTTAAGGGGAGCCTCTTTAGGGACAGTTATCTCCTGGTGTTAGAACCAGAGACAAGGACTGTCACTTGGAACTTGTATTTAGAGTGTAACACAGTTATGCCATCCTTGTTTTGACACGCTAGGCATCAGATAAGCTAGTTCCTAGTAGAAGGGAGTTGTTCCTGCCAGGGCATCACTAGTGCCAGGGCAGACACTGATTGGTTAGCTTTCTTCTTCATTTCCCAGGTCATTCATCTGCATTTTCAAGAGGGATATCTATGTGTCAGTTGCTCACTTGGGAGTTTAGCATTTTCTATTGAATAACGATACATGCCATTTGAGTTTATCTTTTAAAGTTAATTCTTTCATAAGAAGCATCTATTTTACCCTTTTTCTTGTGATGATTTTTTTTTTTATTTTAGCTTAAATGTTTGCAGTCTCTTTGGGTTTTTGTTTGTTTTTGAGACAGGGTCTCTCTATGTAGCTTTGGCTGTCCTGAAACTTGTATATAGACCAGGCTGCCTTGACTTAGAACTACCTGCATGTCTCCCCAGTGCTGGGGTTAAAGGTGTGCACCACCATGCCTGACTTAAATGATCGCAGTGTCTTTTAACATTATTCTCTATGGGTGTTCATTCAACAGATAGTAACAATTTTGAAAAGCTGCTGTTGCTGGTCTCATGACTGTAGATGCTGCTAACTCTCCCAGGAAGTTGATCTGGAGCACGTAGGTCCTTTTGTCCCCAGGTTCACTCATTGCTGTAATGGCCCTGCATTGTCTTTGCCCTGTTAAATGAACCTTTGGCTAATGACGTCTGTTGTGGGATTCATGTTTCTATTTTCGGTGACTCCCTTGCTGTTTGTGAGCCAATCCTGCTGCTTTCTTACCTTTCCCCTGCAGATGTACCACCTACTTTACCTAGAGCACTTCCCAGCTATGAATATTCATCCTCTGTGCCAGTAGGGGGAGCTCTAGCCTTATTGTTAGCTGTGCACCTTCCTTTTTTAAGGATCCTTGACATCCACTGTATCTATCGCCCAACCCTTGTTACTACTAATCTTCTCTCTCATCTTCTGAACTAAAAGAATTAAACTAAAATTGTAGCACACATCTAGGAGGCAAGTTGTAGCTGCCCAAAGAGATTCTCTGTAATAATATCTAGCCTTTCTTGAGATACTGGAAAACAAACCCAAGGCCTTGCTTGCATACTCGGGCCTCTGCCACTGGGCTGTTTTCTCAGACCCACTTTAACATGTAAATGAAATAAACTGAAAACAAGCTACCAGCTTTGGATTTAATTTTGAAGGATGTTTTGTTCTTTGAAAATAGTGAGGAAAAAAATCCACATCTTAGTACTTAGAGTTATTGAGTATCACCAAGGAGTTTGGGTGTTTTCTTTTTATTTTTGTTTTTGTTTTTTACAGGGGTGGGTGCTGTCTCTTTATTATTTTTCCCCAATGCTGAGATCAAACCAAAAGCCTCATGAATGGTAGGCAGATATTTAAAGCAGAGTGTCAGCTTCGGCCTTCCATGAACGATTCTTAGTTGTACAGAGACAAGATAAGCAAGTGTCATGTGAGATTTCAAGAGGCTTTTCAATCCCTGGATCTTTAGGATTTACTTCTTTTTCTTTTTAAGAAATGGTTAGCAAAAGTGTCTTGTCTCTTGGCATTACATAGAAGGTTGGGTGGGAAAGTCTGATGGCAAGTTACAGGATATGAAAGGGTTAATGTGGTAGTTGGAAATCACTGTGGTGATGAAGCCTATAACTTCAGCACTCAGAAAGCTGAGTTAGGAGGATCATAAACTTGAGACCAGCCTAGGTTACATAGCAGAATTCTGTCTCTTAAGAGCAAAGAAACTACTGTAGTTGGGATTGAGGAGGACATTTGAGTGGAATAATTTTTTTCCATTTCCAAAATGATGTTTGTTTAGTTATTGTCGGGGTGATGGGTGCTTGAGCCTGGTGCACATGTGATGGTCAGAAGAAACTGTGGACATCAGTTCTTTCCTTCTACCTTGGGTTGTTGGGGTCCTTGACTGACTGAGTCCTCTTGTGGGCCCTCATACAGTTTCCTAAGAGCCTTTGAATATCGAGGAAACAGGATGAGTCTTCTCTTCCCATGGACTATAATTCCTCACTTCACTTCTTTTCTGGGTTGTTGGTGGTGGATGTTTTGATGTTCTCTGTGTCTGACTGGAACCAGTTTGTCTCCCCCTTAGGCAACCTGGTACCCGCACTGGAGGGGCCACCACCTGATGTCAAACTTTGTGTGAACCAAATTGACATAGCACACTTCAGGCATGTGCCACTGTGACTGGCTGTGGTGGGGGTGTTGTTCCCAGGGCCTTGCAGATGCTAGGCGAGCACTGCACCCTGATCTGCATCACCAGCACTCACTGTGTCCTTTGTAAGGAAATCGGAGTTCTTAGTTTAAAGATGGTTCCATCTTCTTGCTCAACTGTCTTTTATGGAGAACAGTTATTTCCTAATTTAAATTAGTGTGTGGCTAGCTGGGTAACAGCTGCAGAGAGGCCACTCACTGACAGTTGTACAAGCCAAAGAACTAGTAGCTAATGGGAGTACTGTGGGATTTTCAGTTTGGATTCTGTTGATTTAGTTAACATCATAAAATCTATCTTTCTCATGTGTGTGAATTCACTAGTTTTTAATAGGTTCACAGAGCTTCGCAACTGTCATCATTAAATTAACCCAGAAAATGTTTATTACTTTAAACCTAAAATACCCTGTGTACATTTGCCTATTTACCATTGTGTGGTATGGGTGTAGGCTTTCTGATTAGTTTGGGTTTTTTGTCTAGAGTCAGGGTCTCTTAGCTCAAGCAGTAGCATTTGCCTAGCATGCACAGGTCCTGGGTTTGAGCCTGGCACAACGTGGCAAAAAGTGTGGGGTGAGGGTTGGAAAAGGAAAAACAAGCAGTGCAGACGTACATATCATACAGGCCTTGGAGGCCTGTGGTGACTGGTTGAGGCGGGGTCTCAATGTTGCCCTGGTCTTGAACACCTGTACTCTCAGCATTCACCTCCAGAGTGCTGGGATGTAATGTTTTGTATTCCCACCAGTAACAGAAGTTTTCCTTTTTCTCCACATTCTCCAAAACTTTTCTGACTTTTTGGTTGTAGCTGTGCAGTAGGTCTGAAATGGTGTCTCCTCATTGTAATTTGCATTTCCCTGCATCTTCTCATGTGCTCATTAGCATCCCTGCCACTAGGATGCTGCTTTAGATTCTTTGCCTGTCTTCAGTCTGATCATTTGTAAGCTTTCCCTGTAGGCTACAAATACCAGACCTGGGGACTAGAGAGATGGCTCAGAGGTTAATAGCACTGGCTGCTCTTCCAGAGGACCTGGGTCCAATTCCCAGCACCCACGGGGAAGCTCACTACTGTCTGTAACTCTAGTTCCAGGGCTTCTGACACCCTCATACAGACATACTGATGCACATAATATAGAAAAATCAATAAATTGTATTTTAAAAATACTAGACATTTCTCAGATACGTAATTTTCAAATATTTGCTACTCTGTTATCTTTTCAGTTTTTATACCATGCTCAAAAAAAATTGGGTTTCATCAAAATGAAACTTGTTTCTTTTGTTACTTGTGCTTTAGGTTGAAGAAATGGTTGCCTAATTCAAAGTTAGGAGGATCTTACACCTAAGAGTTTATAGTTTCAACCTTTATATGTGGGTCTTTAGTGCACTTGGGTTTGGCTGTTTTTTGTTGGTTGGTTGGTTGGTTTCTTTCAAGACAGGGTTTCTCTGTGTAACCCTAGCTGTCTGGAACTCTGTAGACCAGGCTGGCCTGGAACTCATATCTGCCTGCCTCTGACTCCCAGGTGCTGGGGTTAAAGTCATGAGCCACCACATCTGAGTTTCTAGTGCATTTTTAATTCATTTTAATGTGGAAGGTGGGAGAGGTCTATATTCTGTCACCACCACCCCCGCTGCCCTGCCCTGCATAGGGATGTACAGTTGTCCTAGCAGTTTGGCAGAGTTTCTTTTCTTTTGAAAAGTCTTGTCATGTCTGTGTTCTGGGGGAAGGGAATTGATCACAGACCATTATGGACTGTCATTTGTGTGTAGCCCATTGACAAAAGGTAAATCTGAGCTAAGAAAGAAATGCAAATTGGTATAATTGTTCTCAGATTCTCAAACATGTGCTTTGTGTATTTTAACAAGAATAGCTCACAGAAATAACTGCAAATAGATGCACAAACTTAAAAATTGTAGGAACTTTTAAGTTCCTCTGAAAGCCATTGATCACACCTAGACCAATCGTCACAGTTGTCTCTTGGTTAAGAGACAACTTGTCCTTCTCTTGTCCTTGTCCTTCTCTCCCTCTTGCACTTCTACTTACTGATGTTTTCTGCAAGTAATGTTCGCTGAGTTCTTTATTCCCCCAATGTCCATAAACTGGAAATTATATCCAGAGGCTTGCAAATACAGGGTAAACATTTTGCCTGGAGTACATCAGAGATCTCCCAGCACATTGAAAACATCCTGCACCCGCTGACTGCGTGGCTACAGGCTGACCATTACACTTTGTAGTCCATATTAGTGATATTAAGATCGGACCTAGGAAGCAAGACACTTGTTTTGACTTCAAAGTAATGCAATCATTTACTAGTTCCTCAAGCATCTAATGATGTATTACCATTAAGTGCAATCTAAAATGTAAATTTCAATTGTTTTGTTTTTGTTTTTCGAGACAGGGTTTCTCTGTATTGCTTTGGAGGCTGTCCTGGAACTAGCTTTTGTATAGGCTGTCCTCGAACTCACAGAGATCTGCCTGTCTCTGCCTCCCAAGTGCTGGGATCAATTTTTTTTAAATGTAGGATTGCCATTGTGTTCTTCCAATTAGGACTGGATTGAATATTGATTGATTCACCTGCTGATAATCAATAAAGAAAGAATTGAGCTTTCTGTAGTCAGTTTCAATTGATCTGTGTGACTGTAATGGTCCTTGCAACATATTTAACAACCTGGATGGTTTGGATGGCATTGTGTACTGTTTAGGCACATTTGATGCTCACTGAGCATTTTCTTCAGCTTGCCCATTAGTTTACCAGGAATTTTTATGCATCTCTGATATGCTTCAAGCTATGTACTTGTTGCAGTGAGGGGAGATGTGGTTATATAGACATTATTAACAAGGCCAGAGGCTTGAAAGGATTACAAATTGCCTTCCTGGTTCCTGCCTGCACCCAGTTCTCAGCTTGGCTGAAGTCTGTCTCTTGGAATTCCCCATTGGGTTATGGAAGCCTGAGGTTAGATGACTTACCAGGCCTTGCACCATACCTTTCATGTTGAGGTAATTTTGGTAGTTTTGCAGCAGGCAGGGGAAGTCCAGGTGGGCGGACTGTTTCCAAGGCTTTAGCACTCTACTTGTGCCTAGTAATGTTTGAAAATTATGGCTCCGTAGATGCTGCCAGCCTTAACTAAAGCCTTAAGCCTATATATATGTACAGATGGATATCTGTGTCTGTTTTTATGCTTGACTTTATGAACAACAAAAAATGCATTGTGCTTCATTCAGCAGCTAGCAGAGGAAAAGACAGTCAGATGCCCCAAGACCACTGACTGCACACCTTGAGAGGGAATTTGTTTTCCCATTTGACCTACAGCACAGTCCCATTAACACACTTGTCTTTTCTCATTGGCTGATAGGAAACCAAAAAGAGAGGAACACCTAAGTGAAGAAGCAGTGAAGGTGATCGCCAGCCTTCCTGACTTAACCTTCATGCATGCCAAGGTGTTGATGTTCCCAGCCACACTGACGCCTTCCACAAGCTCCCAGGACGGATAGCTGGTTGAATTGGACAGTTTCAAATACTTTCCCTTTCCTCCATCCCTTCCTACCATCAAAACATATCTGCTGTAATTTAAAAATAAATAAATACAGTCAAGTTCAGCTGATTTGTCGGTAAGCCACACTAGAAAGGTATACATAGTAATGTATATTTATTTACATACTGAAGTCCTAAATTTATATTAGAAAAAATGTAAATAATTGGGGATGAACATTTTTGAAGATTTATTCTTTTGTGTTGCTGGGGTGTATACATTTATGTCTTTGTGAAATATACTGGTGGTGTCCTTCTTTAAAAAAAAAAAAAAAAAAAAACTTTTGAAATAAAAAAAAGAAAATTAAAAACTCAGATCTCCACTGTCTGTGAAATCCCCTTCAGTCTTTGCCCATTGCATTGACCGCTCTTAATTTTCCCTACTGTATGCATTATTACTTTTACTATCACAAAAGCTCAAATCCCTGTCTGATTTTCAGTTTTATATGTGATGGTTTGTGTCAGGCCTGGCTTTTGTTAACTTTTCTGGGCTCTGTGTTTAGTCTTTTCAATCTGGCATATTGCTGTGTGACCTTTTGCAGAGGTCATCGATGCTCTCTGGTTGTGGGGTGTGGATCACTGTCAGAATTTGATTGGAGGCTTGAACGAGATTGTGCCTGTTTTTAATTAGTGTGATTTGGAGAAGGACCAAATGACATGTCTTAAAATGAAATTTGTTAGAAATCTTTCTGTTCTATCATACCATTATTTTTTGAGGATTTTGCACAGTGTAAAAATGACATAATCATAGATTGCTATGGTTTAGGCTGTATATACAGTAAAAAAAAATTTAAAAAAAAAAACTATGGGTTTTAAATGTTTGGGGAAATTCCTATGGAAAAAAGAGAGACATGTAGAAGAGCCTCTAACAAGGTTAATGTGCATGCCCAAGGGTTTTAAGATTTCAGTGTGTAAATTTCCTTTTAGCTTACACAATAATAAAATAATTTAAAAGAAATTTAGCCTTTTGTCTTTGTACTTTAACATCTCAGGGAAAATGTAATGCATTTGAATGTGAGGTTTTATTCAGAATTAATGAGTTTTGTTCCAAATGAAGTGATTTAGTAGGACTTCTATCTGGTTAAAATGAAGAATTAAAGAACTGAATAATGGGGCTAGAGAGATGGCTTACGGGTCAAGAGCACTTGTTTTTGCAGAAGACTCAGGTTCTAGTACCATGGTGGCTCACAACCATCCATACCTACAGTTCCAGGGGATCTGATCCTTCTGACATTGGAGGGTACCAGGCACAATTATGTGAACAGAAATACATGGAGACAAAACATTCATACACAGAAAATGTAATAAAGTAAGCTAAAAAGCTCTAGGGCCAGCTAGCCTGGTTTACACAGTGACAAAAGAGACTGCTCAATCAAGGTAGAAAGGCAACAACCCTAAAGGTTGTCTGCAATGACACACATGTCCCCCCCCACACATACATACACACACACAAATAATGATGATGATGATGATGATGATGATGATGATGATGATGATAGGATTGGTACTTTTTAACAGCTGAACTATTTTTATATGTACAACATAAGCTCATAAAAGAAATTCCCATGACTCATTATAGCAAGTCTTCATAATATTGAGATAGTTAAATAAGAACCTATAGGGCCATGCAGTGATGGCACGTGCTTTTAATCCAGATAGAGTTCTTTGAATTCTAGGCCAACCTGATCTACAGAGAGAGTTCCAGGACAGCCAGAGCTACACAGAAAAACCCTGTCTTAGAAAACAAAAAATAATTTTATAGGGAGCCCCCCCAGAAAATGTTTGCATCAAATTAAGTTTAGCAGAAAATTCCTAAAAAGTAATTTGGGGGTGGGAGGTCCTAGATAGATGGTGCAGTGGTTAAGAGCACCTGTTGCTCTTGCAGAGGGCCAGGGTTAGCTTCTCAGCAACCACCTGGTGGCTCACAAACATGTGAAACTCCAGTTTCAAGGGATCCAGCTCCCTGTTCTAACCTCTGGCACCAAGCACACATGAGTTGCATATACGTTCATGCAGGCAAAATAACCACACATAGAAAAATATGTAAGTCTAAGACAAAAGTTGTTTTATAGTATTATCATTAAACATTTTCCAGAAAAAAAAAAGGGCATTTGCTAGAGAACAAGCTGTCAGCCAATAGGAGCCTACAGTGTCCAGCAGATGCTTCAAGTCTCTGATATTTCAGGCATTAAAATAAGGAATTGGAGCTACTGTACAGCACTATCCTCCCAGCCAGTGAGCATATCCACGAATTCAGCTAAGCCTATTTAAGACCATCATAGCCGTGCTTGCCAACTGTTGACCTGTCTCACAGAATTGAGGATGGGAAGTCATGGGACCCTCACCTGAGTACCCAGCCAGTTGTGTATAGCTTGGCCCTAACTGCACATAGCCTTTGGGTCTTGAGGAGGTACACTGTGTAGAATGAGGAAGACTAGGGGAAATGGGCTTCATCTACACAGCCATAAGGAAGCCACCATCCATTAGGGTGACAACATTCCAGTGTGGCTAGTTTGGGATCACTATGCTCCTATTGTTAGCCTCTCACCCATGCCCTGTAAATACGCTTAATAAACTCATTAGGTATGTGGGAGGAGGGGACAAATCGGGAGCTGTGCTGTGTCGTTGGAACTTTACAAGGAGGGGGTCTATATTGCATAGTCTCCCTGCCCAGGATGAACATGCTCACAACAGGAATGTGGTGACTTTTAGTTGTAAACTTGACTGCATCTAGAATTAACTAAAACCCGAAAGTGGCTGGGCACAACTATTAGGGATTTTTGCTAAATAAGTCATTTGAAGTAGGAAGACCCTCTTCTAATCCAATCTAAACACATGCACCAGGGGTTGTCTTGCCATAACACACCCTAGGCTAATATTGGGGCTGAGTGGCTACAAAAAATCCAGCTCAATAAAAGCACTCCATTGCAGTAGAATATTAAGGGCTAAGGATAAGTCAGTTCTCATAGCTGAAGAAACTGAAGCATAAATAAGGAAACTAACTTGTGTGCAACATCACAGCTATATCCAAAGGCAAAGCCCAAATCCCGGCTTTGTTCACACCTTCCTGTGTGTTTCCTCAGAAGAAATGGCCTATGTAGTCTGAACATGTGCAGGGTCACCACTGGGCTCAGGAGCCCACAAGGCAACACATACACACTTTGTTGCTATTGCTGTGATTAGGAAACCTGTCATCATAACCTTCCTGTTGTTCCTGGCTGTCCCTTGTGTTGTTGGATAAACCTAATCCCTTTTCCCCACATACCTGAAGATCACTGTCACGTTCCTCTTTCACCAGGTCTCCCTTTGAACACATTCTTCTCTGAATGTCAGTGTGTTCCCCAGGCTGGACCATGTATCTCCTCACCATGACATGGGCTTCATGTTTATTCTCTTTCAGACGCTTAACCTATCCTAAAATTCTATCCCTAGTGTTGATAAATCTGCCTCTTTAACTCATGTAGGTGAGAAGCTCCCCCCCCACACACACACACACTACCATCAAATCAGACTTTCTGTCATCTTCTATCGCTGACTTTTTAAAACCTAAATGCCCGTTTACATTTCTCCCTTTCCAACATTACTGTGTCTATTTTAGACACTGCCCTAAACTGTCACTGTGCTGCAGTGCGTGCAGACTCTTCCCTCCTTCCCCAGTCTTGTCATCCACTGACTGACAGACGTACTCCATGTTTATCAGTGAATACTGACACTAGGCAAGTTTGGGCACACTGGCTTCTCAACAGAGTATACCGGGCTTCTTCATCTTGGCCACAGATATGATGGGCAAAGCCCTGCTGAATCCAGTCACAGGACCTATGACTTCTCATGGACCACCAGAAGCATTTCCTCTCCGTGCCTCAAGAGGTGATAGGTCCAAGAAGAAATGGTCAACCAGGTATGGTGACGCACAGCTGTAACACCAGTTCTCAGGAGGCTGAGGCAGGAGGATCAGGAGTTGAAAGGCAGTTTGGGCTACACAGAGAGATTTGAAAGGGTAAAATGGCATCCATTCAGGATCAAGGAGGATAATCCACATCTGTGGCACACAGTAAACACTAATCCAGTAATTTTTATCATCATTCATTTGGGTCGGTATTCTGTCACTACAGATGAGGATAAAGAGTAGAAAAACACAGATAACTGTCTCCTAACAGTAATAAGCCAAAATGTTGTCCTCCCAGGGAGCTAAAGCCACCCTTACAATGTGTGTCATGTTTCAGTTAGTCACCATTTCAGCTACCTTAAACTCTTGAGTGTGAACCATGCCTTTAGCACCTCTGACCCTCCCTGCTCCTCACATACCTCAATGGGGCCTCCTGGTCCTCTCCCATCTCCATCTCTGAGGGTCAGTGACACAGATCACCAAAGACCAATAGAGCTAAGGCATGAGAATAAGGAAACCTGCATCCAACTCCGAATAGGTTACTCTAGTCTTTAACTTGAGTCTATTTCCCCCCCTAGGTCCCTCAAGCAAACTGCTTCCAAAAGATCAGGCATGGTGTACATACCTGCAATTCCAGAATTCAAAAGGCAGAGGGAAAAAGATTCCAAGTTTGAAACCAACCTGGACTACACAGTGAGATCCTGATTAAAAATATCAAATGAGAAAAAGAGGAGGGCAGGAGGAGGAGAGAAGGTGGGGACCAGTCCCAGTGTTCTGGGTGGAGCCTTTCTGGCCTCTCATTGGGCTGTAGGTCTCTTCTGCCACTGGCCTGCCTCATTGGAGGTCCAGGCTCCAGCTTTAGTTCCCATGTACCATGTATGACATGCCTCATATTTACTGTCCTTACTAGGCCCTCTCTTCAATGAGTCTACATCCAGTGTTCACTCTTGCTTTTTTTTGTTGTTGTTGTTGTTTTGGTTTGGTTTGGTTTGGTTTGGTTTTTTTTTTTTTTTGGAGGGGGGGGGTGGAGACAGGGTTTCTCTGTGGCTTTGGAGGCTGTCCTGGAACTAGCTCTTGTAGAACAGGCTGGTCTCAACTCACAAACATCCACCTGCCTCTGCCTCCCGAGTGCTGGGACTAGAAGCATGCACCACCACTGCCTGGCCCAGTGTTCTCTCTTGTCCTCTTCCCCTGCCTTACCCTTCAGCCTATGAGTCTAGAGTCCTGTCAATCACACCTCTTACATAGTTACGTCCTCGCAGGGTCCGCTCATCTTACCTGACTACCGTTTAGCCTCCAGGTGGCACGTCTTTGTCTTTCTTCCTCCCAATCTAATCTTCTACTATGTACTATGCTGACAGAATGTTCTTTTCCTATAACAAGTCCTTCCTGAAGCCCTCTGAATGAAGTCTTATCTCACACATTGCCCAGGCCTGGGTTCTGCCCTTTCTCTACACTATGGGCTCTTTGCTGGCTACCAAATGCCCCAGCAGCTGGCTAAACCACACCCTTACCCAGGAAAATATGTCCTCATTCATTAGCCAGCATCATCTCCTCTGGAAACCTTTCTCCCACCCACAATGAACAGAACTAGCCCTTCCAACATCTTAGGGTTCATTGCAAACCCTTTGACCACATAACACTTAAAACTAGTTACATTAATTAAAGACTGTATCATGAAATACACTCCACCATCACCACCACCACCACCATCACCACACCCCTGCCTGCTCATATCTGGACATGTGATTCCCAGCTGGCAGGGCTAACTTGGAAGGTTCTGGGAACTCTGGGAGGTGTGAGTATTTGGGGAAGTAGGTCACTGAGGACAGACCTTGGATCATTATATCCTGGTCCCTTACTCTCTGCTTCCTGGTCCACAGTGATCTGAATAGCTGTTAGCACATACTCCCATAGCAACAAACATCACCATATCTTCTCTACCAGAATGAACCTTGAACCAAAATAAATCTTTCTTC